AGCTTAGTTGAAAATATGAGAAGGAGCTGAAGCTCCAGGCTTCTTTCATAACCGCACCTACAGTTGGCCAGCCGTAGGTGCGAGACCGTAGAAGCGGCTAAGCCATCGCAGATGCGGCCATGGGTGGCCAGCCTAGAAACCGCAGAAGCGGCCCCTTAACCGCAGAAGCGGAACCGTAGAAGGGTTGGCCTTCCGCAGCAGCGGCCCAGCACGCCCAGCTCATGACCCCATAAGCGGTTAATTTTCTGCAGATGCGGTTGGCGCAGGTGCGGCCCAGGACCGCAGATGCGGAAACTACTGAAGGCAGTGGCCTTCATTAAATAACGGGAGTTTGTCATTTTGACACATTTTTACTCCATTTTTTGGCGATTTGGCATCTTCAAAATTCGAGTTCAACTCTATATTCGTAGAGTATTTCACTGTTAGCTACTCAGCAAAATAATTGAAAACAGAATTAAATAAACAACCCAATATGATTAAACCAACTTTGTTAAATTAAACACTGAACAACAACAATCATGTTTTACCCATGACCCTAGAATAATGGGTTTTAGCCACTCATAGCAGTGTTCATCTCAATAATGTTTAATTTCATGCAAAACGTAAAAACAAGAAGAAGAACAGAAGAACTTGATGTTGGATTTTCCTCCTTGCCTCTTGCCTCTCTATTTCTTGCACTAAACTATGAAAACCTTGATATTTTACTCTTGGGGGAGCTTGACTTTATATAGGTTAAGTGAATTTTCCTCCAGGTTTCCAATTTTTCCCCTAACAGACCTTTTGCGGAACTGGGACTAGCGCGAACGCGCTAATGTTCGCGCTAAAGTTCGCGCTAGTTTCCTGAAATTCTGCCTCCCGCTCCTGGACTAGCGCGAACGCGCTAGACTTCGCGCTAGTTCAGGCCATTTTCTTCAATTCTTTGTCTAGTCCTTGCACGCACTCAGCTCCGAGGGGTCTTTCTTGCTCCAATGTAGCTTCAATCACCACTTTAAGGCATTATCTAGGCTCATCATCCTGCAATGTGTAATATTCACAATTAGATCCCATTTTTCATCATTTAACCATATTATGACATCGAACATAATCAAGCGGGAGCATAAATAATCGCCAAATCACCTAGAATTAGCCTATTATTAGTGCACAACTCCACGCTCGTCATATAGCGTGTGCGTCACCTCAAAATAACACAACGATGTGTAATCCGGGGTTTCAAACCCTCAGGACAGTATTTACAATCATTACTTGTCACGACCCCCGTTCACCCTCCATGAACATGTCATGATGGCACCTAGTTCCTACAACTAGGTAAGCCTAACAGTGCGGAAATAACAATTTAACTTGAGGAATAATCAATTAAAACTGAACATTTGAAAAATAACAACTGAATATAAGGCCGCCCGTCCTATACAACTCTAAAGATATGCGGAAGTCTACAACTCAATCCCAAAACCCGGAAACTCACGGAAAACACAGGCTAATAGAATTACCATAAGTACTCTAATCTCCAGAATATCTACATCAAAAGTATGATAGGATAACAGCTCTACAACTAGAATAAAGAAGAAGACTCTTTGGTCTGCGGACGCTCCAGATATACCTCGAAGTGTCCGTGTATCTCCTCACCTCAAGGATAGTGCGCCTGAGAAGAGGTACCTGGATCTGCACATGAAAAACATGCGCAGGAAGGGCATGAGTACCCCACAACGGTACTCAGTAAGTGCCAAGCCTAACCTCGATTGGGTAGTGACAAGGAAGGTCAGGGCCCTACTGAGGTAAAAGAGAATATTAATTAACAGTATGAAAATTTGACAGAAATAATGAGTACAGCAGTGAGATAAGACAGGCTAACGAAATAATAACAACTACACAAAGAACGAGATGAACATAGAATGACTACAGCTCAATACCAGGAATAACAATGAGGGTCTCCCAGGATACCGTCCTGTAGCCCTTTTCTCAACTATCCAGTGGATCTCCTGGATACCGTCCCGTAGTCCAACTCATGTGCCACGCCGAAGGATCTCCCGGGATACCGTCCCATAGTCCAACCATCAATATGCAGGGGGGATCTATCGGGAATCAAACCTGCAGTCCCAAAGTAAAAGTGCAGGGGGATCTACCGGGAATCGAACCCGTAGTCCCAAAATAAAAGTGCAGGGGGTCTACCGGGAATCGAACCCGTAGTCCCAAAATAAACAGACAGGGGGGAGCTACCGGAATCCCACATACGTAGTCCCAATATAAATGCGCAACCACAGCCAGAAATATACTAAGGAGTGAAGTGTGAAATACAAACACAGATAGAACTAGCCTAGCATGCTTCATGTAGAACAGTCAAAACAACTTAAGCAATTAGGCGGTCAAGTCAACTAGACATGCTTTTTCCTAATCTAGCAAAAGTTACAATTTCAGGTAGAATACGACAAGTAAGAAAGAAAACTAAATCTCAATAACTTAAGTAAAAACCGGAATTTTCATCAATCGGCTCAAGTACGCGCTCGTCACCTCACGTACAAGGCACTCAAATATCAAGAAACAATCCTAAAGGGAAAAGTCCCGCACACAAGGTTAGACAAGCCACTTACCTCGAACCGGCTCAATATCAACTAGAAACCACACTCTTGCCACGAGTATCCGACTCCAAATGGCTCAAATCTATTCAATTCAATTACACATCGTAAATAACATCGCAAACACCTGGTTTTGCTAATAAATTCAAAGCTATGGCGTAAAATTAGGTGAAATGACCAAAATTCCCTTCAGGCCAACGCCCCGGAATCGAATAATTTTCACATTTTCAGAACCCTCGTACTCTCACGACTCTAACCATATAAAAATCTCCCAAATCGGAGGTCAAATGCTCACTCAAAACTCAATAATTTAGCCAATGAAGTTTTACCCCAAATTATCCAATTTTTGATCCTAAATTCGAATTCCCATGATGTATTTAACTATATAATGATAAAGTATAACAAAAAGGGATCAAAGAAACGTCACCCAATGATTTTCTCTTCAAAACCCACTCAAAATCGCCTTCTCCCGAGCTCTCAATCGATTTTTCAAACTTATGAAATTAAACCCTCGAAATTTCTATTTCTGCCCAAGGATTTCCGCTTTTGCGGACAAGGAACCGCTTCTGCGATCCCGCTTATGCGGAAAATGAGTCGCTTCTGCGACTTTCACTAAATAGCCAATGTCCGCTTCTGCGGACCACGAGCCGCTTCTGCGGTTCTTCAATAAGTCAGATTTCCGCTTCTGCGGTTTCATTTAAATGGACAGATTCCGCTTCTGCGGATAAATAACCGCTTCTGCGGTTCCTGAGGGGGAGGACCAATCTCGCTTTTGCATTTCTCACTTCCCAACTCCAACATGCTCACAAGTTCGTAACATATTTCAACTTGAAACATTAGCTGAAGCACTTCTTCTATTTAAGATGAGGAATATAATTGCCAAAATTGATAGAAATATAATCAAGCATCAAACAAACACACACAAAAAGGGGAAGAGAGGGTAACTGAGTACTTGTAGCCGGAGGACATAGGAAAAGTGAGAAATTAAGCTTTCTAGTGAACGTTACCAATCTCTGTCGATGCGCAGCAAAACTCATAGATCCCCCAGTGTGCAACGAGCCACCCTTTTGAGAGGCTCGGGCTGCCTTTGCTCGTTCGCTCTTCTCCTTAAATTCAGGACTATCCCATATTGCTAAAAATTTTAACCACACATCATTTCTTAGCCAACCAGGATTCTTTCTCTTGTCTCGAGCTTCATACAATGAACTTGTAATCATTCTTTTTGCTTTCTTCTCGTATACATATTTTATTTCATTGTCATATCGTTGCTCCCACACACACTTAGTCTGGAAAATAATTAAATAAAGTAGAGTGAAATTGGATATTTGATATATAATTCAAAAATAAGATTTATACGTACCCTAAATTGATTCCACATTTTATCTCTGATATCATATGGAATGTCTTTCCATCTACCCCAAGCATCATCGTAAAGCGGCTTCATAGACTCTATAACCATATGCGCGGCAGCCAATGAAGGGAAAAACCTGTATTAAAATTAACATATGTAAAATGTATACTCAACAGAATAAAAATAAACATAAGGATTACTTACCCATCTTTCTCATCCGGAACGATAATCAGCCTACCATATGTATCAAATTGTGGAGTCACTTTACCACTTCGACCCCGAGAAGCTGCTGATGTAGCACTACCAATGGATGGTGATGTTGTTGTACCAGAGACTCCAATATTTGACCTAGATACGCTAGGTGTGCTTGATGCCGGAGATGCAGCTGGAGTCGATGAAGTAGGCAGTGCTGAGGAGCTACCTTGTTGACTAATATGAAAACCGGGAGAAGAAGTTACATTTGGTGTGGGAATAAAACTAAGGTTAGAGCCAGAGTTCGGGCCAACTGAAGATACAGAAATGTGAATAGGCCCAGGTGGGGGCATAAAAAATTTAGGTGGCAACGAAGTCGACTGAGGAGGAAAAGTAGGAGGAGGCCCCATATTTGGAGGAGAGTAACCTACAGCTGGACATTGTAGTTGAGTCTCCTTACGCTTACAGTGTCGACGATCGCTACCCCCAGATGCCATCTCTGTAATATAACCATAGTAAAAAAACATAAAGCAAATCTTCAACATATTAGATGTATAAGAAATAATACAAAAACATAAAGAATTAGATGATTAGGAAAAAATATAAAAATATAAAGAGATAAAATCTTCAACATATTAGAAGATTCAGAAAAAAAAACATAAAAATCCTAAAGAATAATAAAAACATAAAGTAATTCCTCAACAATGATTAAGGAAAAACATAAAAATTAAAGAAATAATAAACACATAAAGTAATTTTCAACAAATTAAATGATTAAAGAATAACATAAAACCTAACGACATACTAAAAACATAAAACAATTCTTCAACATATTAGATAACTAAGGAAAAATATAAAATTTAAATAGATAATAAAAACCCAACAAGTCAATCATCTTCACTTGATTCATATTCATTATTAGATTCTTCCTCATCACTTGTTCCATTGTCATCAAGAAATTCTTCTCCATCGCTTGTTTCATTTCCATCAGATAATTCTTCCTCATCGCTTGTTTCATATTCATTGGCTGGGTCTTCCTCCTCATTTGACCTGGATGTTCCTTCCCCATCATCATTTAAATTTGATCTAAGGACAGAAATATCAAATTCTTCATAGATGCCTTCGCTATGGTGTAATTCACCTGCTAATTCATCATCTACCAATGCTTCAACAGTTGAAATGTCATTTTGGTAAGCTACATCCAAAACATCCTCGACTTCCACTCTACCCACGGGTTTTGTTTTAATAACCACCCTCCATGAGGACTTATTCTTGCACAAAGGATAAGGAGTGTAATACACTTGTTTTACATTTTGTGCAATGATAAATGGATCATAGAATGGATAATCCCTTGTGTGCTTAATTTCAACTATTTTGTACTGGGGGTGCACCTTCGTACCTCTATTTGGTGCTGGATCATACCACTTGCACCGAAAGAGTACCAACTTTTTCTTTGGCCAACCAACACTGTACTCGAGTTCTAAAATCTCTTGAATCACACCATAATAATCAACATCCCCCTCACCTTTCACCCACACCCCACTATTATTGGTTTTCTTGCCCTTAGACCATTCTTCTGTATGGAACTTGTACCCATTAACACAATACCTAGACATCTTTCTAACTCTAGGATCAGGTCCCCAAGCTATATCATACAGAAATTGATCACGTATGCCATTAGCTGGATTATGAACCTATATAGAATTAGAGAAAATTTAGAATTTTAAATTACATGTAATTAATTTGCAACTAACAAAAACCATGATAAATATTAAGTAACACTTACAAATTCTCTAAACCACTTTGAAAACGTAGGATAAACAGCATTCTGCCCATATGTACCCACAAAGTAACTGTCCGACACAATTATAATATTCATTAGTTAAAACAAGGACCTGAGCTTGTATGGAACTTGGTAATATAAATATATATTTACCTATAATAAGGTTGGACCTCGGGGCAATTCAATAGTACATGTGTTGTAGCTGACTCTAGTTCCTTCTCAGTCAAGATTCGCTTTGAACTATTTTTTGGACCACCTTTTCCTGGTTGATTGAATATGGAAAATGGTGGTGCTGAAGGATCATTACTTCCTCCATCGTCATGTCGATTGGGTCTATTTCTCAAACATGGCACATCATGTTCAAAATAACATGAACAAAAATAAGAAGTTTCTTTAGCCAGATATGCCTCACATATCGATCCCTCAATTCTCGATCTATTTTTCACGGTCCGCTTACATTTGCCAATAATCCTGCATATTACGATTTCTTAGACGGAACAATATTTAATTAAAATAAATAAAGGGCAAATAATTAAAAATCATTTATTACCTCTCAAAGGGATACATCCATCTATACTGAACTGGCCCTCCAAGTCGTGCCTCTTGCGCAAGGTGAATTGGAAGATGCTCCATTACATCGAAGAAACCAAGAGGAAAAATTTTCGCCAACTTATTTAAAGTTAGGCGAATATTACTCTCCATGTAAGTTAGATTCTCCACCCTCAATGTGCTAGAACACAACTCCTTAAAAAATAAGCTTATCTCTGTGATAGGCTTCCATATTCTATCAGGCAAGGCATTGAACGCAATAGGCATCAATGATTCCATGAAAATGTGACAATCATGGCTTTTCATTGACATCAACTTCCCTTCTTTCATGTCAACACACCTAGATAAGTTTGACGCGTATCCATCTGGCATACTCAAATTCTTAACCCACTGACAAATCTCCCTTCTCTCATCCAAAGTGAATGTGTAACTGGCCTTGGGATTCTGAATCTTGTTATTCAGGTATGTAAGGTACAACTCACTTCGCCTACAATATTCCTTCAAGTCCATCCTGGCCTTCAAGTTATCTTTTGTCTTGTTATTAACATCCATCACAGTATTAAACAAATTATCAAAAAAGTTCTTCTCAATATGCATGACGTCAAGATTATGCCTTAGAAGATTATGCTTCCAATAAGGTAACTCCCAAAATATGCTCTGTTTAGTCCAGTTATGGGTAACACCATAACCAGGTATCTTATTAGGTAATGGAGACTCTGTTACCTTAGGTAGATCCCTAACTCTATTCCAAATTTCTTCTGGCGACAAGACTGAAGGTGGCTCTTCATAATCACTTTGATTCTTCAGAAATGCACTAGTGTTTCTCCTAAATTCATGATCCATTGGCAAGAAACGACGGTGACAGTCAAACCATGTGTTCTTACCTCCATGTTTCAAAGTGAACGTTTTTGTGTCTTCCATGCAAGTCGGGCAAGCTAACTTTCCAGCAGTAGACCACCCGGATAGCATTCCATAAGCAGGAAAATCATTTATAGTCCACATTAAAGCGGCACGCAATCTGAAGTTCTGTTTAGTTGATATATCATAGGTTTCCACACCTTGATGCCATAATAACTTTAACTCATCAATCAACGGCTGCATGTATACATCAATTAAACTTTTTGGATTGCGTGAACCTGGAATAATGCAAGTTAGGAACAAATATGGACTTGTCATACAAAACTCTGGAGGAAGATTATACGGCGTAACAAACACTGGCCAACATGAATATGGTGCGGCAGAGACTGCAAATGGAGTGAATCCATCAGCACATAATCCCAACCTAATATTTCTTGGTTCACTTGGAAAGTCCGGGAACATCCTATCAAAATGCTTCCATGCTTCTCCATCTGACGGGTGACATAGAACACCGGTTGGCCTTCTATGTTCATAGTGCCATCTCATATGAGGAGCGGAGCTCATTGATGCGTACAACCTCTTTAACCTTGGTATAAGGGGTAAGTAATGCATCGCCTTCACAGGAACCTTCTTCTTATTAGCATTTGTAACCTCCTTATAACGAGGTTGGTTACAAAACTTACAATTTTCTAATGCTGCATCATCCTTATAAAATAACATGCATCCTTTCTCACAACAGTCAATCCTCTCTGATGAAAGTCCTAACTTGGACACCAATTTCTTTGCAGTATAGAAATCTTTGGGTAAGTCAATTTTATTCGGATTCAGTTCATTCATAAGCCCAATGATAGAATCCATGCCCGCTTGAGAAATAGAACTATCAGATTTGATAGTTAGTAGTCTAACTGCAACAGACAACTTGGAATGCATTGAGCCTTCATACAATGGACGACTAGCTTCCTCTAGTTGTTCATAAAAGCGCTTAGCCTCATCATTTGGTTCGGATTGAGCCCCTGGAAACATCTCAAAAGCATCTCTCATCATTTCATTGAATCGAGAATTTTCAAAATTATTCTCTACTCTGGGACTACCCTCACCACCAAAAGAATTATGAAAATCATGATTCTCTCCATGAACAGTCCACACATAATAATTTTCTATAAATCCATTCTTGTAAAGATGAAGTTCAACTACATCTGGTCTCAATAACTTGACACACTTGCATTTAATACAAGGGCACCTAATTGTCCCTTCAATAAGAAAATCATTTAGCGATTTCGCCTTAGCAATAAACCCCGCAACTCCTTCTATAAATTCCTTCCTCAATACGGCACGATTAGGATGAGTCCTATATACATCCATCTACGATGTTCAAATTCCATCTACATCAAGAGAAAAAACTATTGAAGATATTCTTC